CGTGCACAGTCGCGAAATATATCGCGATAATTTTAACATTACTCCTGTAATATGACAAAATAGATAATAATATGAGACATCAATCTATTATTCGTAATAAATAAGCCAGAGTAGAAAAATATTATATATAATATACGAGCGATCGAGTTATAAATTCATCTCTTACTACATATTAATTATTAGACGTACGCATTACTGACTTTTGATCTACGTGAAAGTACCTAATGTTACGTATTACACGCTAACAGCCTGCCTAAACGCCTAAGCAATATATACGGCAAAATATCTATATTATGTCGAATTATCTACATTATAATCACATGCTACTTATAAGTTATTTTACTTCCATACACATACATACAATTCGTACGTTATTAGAATAATATCAATGTAACGGTTTACTACAAAGCACCACAATCCTTCGATATAGGATAACGGGTAATAACTAGCGACTATCGTATAACCATTTAGCGCTATTTTGCATACACGATAATAGTGTCGAAATTGCACGCGTACAAACAACAATCTGATATACTTAACATAATACACGATCCCCTTTTTCTGAACACTATATGATGGTTCTGAAAAGAACCGTTTTTTTTTTTATAACCTATTATCGCACGCCGTACTCTCTCTCTCTCTCTCTCTCTCTCTTTCCGGCAAATAGTAAATCCGTCAATTCCATTAGGCACGTTCGCCCCTAATACGTCTTGCCAGCTGTATATCTTTCGGCATGATCGTTACTCGCTTAGCGTGGATCGCGCACAAGTTCGTATCCTCGAATAGTCCGACCAGGTACGCTTCGCTAGCTTCTTGGAGTGCCATTACAGCAGAACTTTGGAATCGCAAATCGGTCTTGAAATCTTGCGCTATTTCACGGACCAGCCGTTGGAAAGGCAATTTTCTGATCAACAATTCGGTACTTTTCTGATAACGACGAATTTCTCTGAGAGCCACAGTTCCCGGACGATAACGGTGAGGTTTCTTAACTCCGCCAGTAGCAGGAGCACTTTTACGGGCAGCCTTCGTGGCTAATTGCTTCCTGGGAGCTTTACCTCCGGTGGATTTACGAGCCGTCTGCTTGGTACGCGCCATTACGTTAAATTTCAGATAACTGAATATAAATTATCTATATAGCAGCGACGTGAATATTGCAACGGACAATATTATAGTGAGCGGAGGTAAACACACACACACACACACACCCCCTACCCTGTGCGGTCCCTCCACCACCCCTGTTCCAGGCAACCTCAAACCCTTGAGGAGTGGGGGGAAGAGCAATCTGCTCCTCCCCCCACTCCCGCCCAAAGGCCTGGAGTGGCGCTGCGTGGTTCAGGCCGCTTGCGCATTCCCCGAGTGTGTGCTGCCGAACGAGCTATCCCCCCTTCCCCAATTTTGCCCCTTTTTCCCGAAATTTGACTCGATCGCGCACGCGTCGCGGAAGCGCGTGGTGGACGTTTCTTCTCAACTGTCGGTTCTCGACTTTATGGACGGCCTCTTTTCTTGGGGGTCCTGCGCTGGGGGCTTTTGACCTAAGCCCCTCCTAAAGGTTATCGACTATGAACTTGCAAATGCACAACATGATCTCCGCGAACGTTGTATTTATATGAACTAACCGACCAATCGACGCGAACGTTTGCCGGCAAACGCCTGGGGGCGGAGTCTACGGTCGTAACGTCACCTGTCTTAAATACGGCCAGAGAATTGCAGTCGTTCCGTTAGTCGAGCGTTGGTGTCGATTATACTCAGCATCATCTCACAATAAAATGCCACCCAAAACTAGCGGTAAGGCTGCCAAAAAAGCGGGCAAGGCGCAGAAGAATCTCAAAATCTGACAAGAAAAAGAAGCGCAGGAGGAAGGAAAGTTACGCAATTTACATCTACAAAGTACTGAAGCAGGTACATCCCGATACGGGTATATCCAGCAAAGCGATGAGCATCATGAACAGCTTCGTCAACGATATTTTCGAACGTATCGCTGCGGAAGCTTCCAGATTGGCACATTACAACAACGTGCCACGATAACTAGCAGAGAAATTCAGACAGCCGTACGACTATTGCTACCGGGAGAATTGGCCAAGCACGCAGTCAGCGAAGGTACCAAAGCCGTCACCAAGTACAACCAGTTCAAAATAATATAGACGTTGTATTCGCTTCGACGGTTATACGGTTCGAAAAATAAGAACAAAAAAAAAACGGTTCTTTTCAGAACCACTATGTTATGATAAATGCAAATGATAATTAGCTGTGGTCGTTATTTTAATCTTTTCATCTATCTCTCTCTCTCCTTCTTCCTCCTCTCTCTCTCCTCCTCTCTCCTCTCCATCTCTCTCTCCTCTATATATATATATATATATATATATTAATATAGATATATATATATAATATATATATATATATGTATAGAAGAATCCGTAATATCTGGAAGATGTCACCTGTATCACTGCACTGGGAAAGTACCGTGTCGTAGGTGATCTAAACGCGAAGTCCACCATTTGGGGCTCAAGAAACAGAAACAGTCACGGCGCTGTTTCTGGAAAGACTAATGGATGAACCTGGATATACCATGATAGGTCCGGACGAACCTACAATATACCCCAGCAACGGAGGTAGACCAGACGTCATAGATATGGCGATTCTGAAGGAAATCGACATGCGCACCACCATCGGCGCCATGCAAGAGGGAAGCTCAGACCACAACCCCCATCTTTCTCTGTACGGGAGATGGGATAACACCTGTGGAACAAAGAACAGTGAAGAGAGTGAATTGGCAGCGGTTTAGAACCAGACTGCACTATTCACAAGGACCACTACTACAGATCGAAAGCCCCGAAAGCATAGAAGAAGCGGTCACGGACCTAGAAAGGAAGATTAAGGCTGCGTTAGAAGCCGCAACCACCGTGGAAGACATAACGCAACCAAACAGGTTCAGGGACCTACCTGACGAGGTAAATCGCAAGATCACCGAAAGAAACAGAGCCCGAAGAGTAGCCCAGGAGACCAGAAGCCCCACTGACATCATGGTGGCAAACAGACTTATGAGACAGGCACGAGACGCCTTGAAGCAGCACCATCAGAGCACCTGGGATAAGAAACTCGACGAACTATCTCCAGCTGACCCAGGAATGTGGAACTTTGGCTAAAATCCTCAGAAATAGAAGACAGCCCATCCCCCCAATACACAGCGAACAGGGGATGGTGTACACAACCGAAGAGAAGGCGGAAGCTTTTGCTGACAACCTTCAGAGACAGTGTACTCTCAATACTCACCCCGATGAAGACGAGACTTCATCGACGAGGTGATGAGAAGATCGAGGAGAGCTGTCAGAGGAGGAAGAGCCATCGAAGACATGCCCTCTCCAGGCGAGGTAAGGGAAATCATCGAAAGACTCAAGGTGAAGAAGGCACCGGGTGTAGACGATATTGGGAACAGAGTCCTGAAGAGACTCCCGAGGAAAGCGATAATGGCAATTACCAACATCGTCAACGCCATACTGAGACACCGGTACTTTCCAGATCACTGGAAAGTAGCCGAGGTGATCAACACTTCCTAAACCTGGGAAAGACCCAAGGTTCCCCCAAAACTACAGACCCATAAGCCTGTTGACGGCACTGAGCAGATTGCGGAAAGGGTAATCGAACGAAGACTGAAGAACGAAACCGAAGAACTCCGAGTAGTTCCAGACGAACAGTTCGGATTCCGATGCGGGCATTCAGCAGAGCACCAGGTCCTAAGGCTGGTCGAGATGGCAACGAAATCGTTCCAGACTCGGCGGGCCGTGGGAGCTGTGTCATGGATGCCGCAAAGGCGTTCGACACTGTTTGGCATGACGGACTGATCTACAAGATGGTAGACCACGGATACTCAAAGGGGATGATCCAACTGGTGAAGTCTACTTGAAGCACCGAAATTTCCGAATTAGGATCGGTAATAACAACCTCGACGACGAGGACTGTGGAGGCAGGAGTACCGCAGGGAGCGGTTCTACCACCCCTGCTGTATCCAATCTACAGCTCAGACATCCCGAAGACTCCTCAAACGCAACTGTATGTGTATGCGGACTATACAGCATATGCGGCAGAAAGTACGAGACCCCGCATGGTTACGGAATATCTGCAACGAGCGACCACCAACCTAGAGGAATGGTGCATCAAGTGGAAGATCCGCCTCAAACCCGAGAAGACCGAAGCGGTACTGTTCCGAAGAAATCGAAGATTACCTCAGACCAAAATAAAGATGACGACCACCAGAATGGAGAGCGGCTGGAGAAGAGATGAAGAGGTTGAGGTCGACTGGAAAGACTCCAGCACATACCTTGGAGTCAAGATGGACCAGAACTCACTTGGAAGAACCATGTCGAAGACCGGGTGCAGAAAGTGAAGATGGCACGCTCCAAACTAAGACCCTTAACGGGCAGAAGAAGCAAAGTGTCACTAAAGAATAAGACCATCATGATTCAGATGGTGCTGGCCTACAAATCATGACTTACGCAGCAGTAGCTTGGGGCTACGTTCCAAAAACGATGAAAGAAGAGGCTCCAAGCCAACAAAACATGGCACTCCGTGATTGAAGCGGTGGACGCACCGTGTATGTACCTAACAGAGTGCTATTATGACGAACTACGACCGGTACCGTCGTAATCCAGATGAGAGAGAGGGCCAGAAAGTTCTTTGAAAAGAAAATGTGCTGATTGAAGCCGCCTGGATTAGACCCCCAAGAAAACAATAAGGCGTCATAAAAGACCGAAAAAGCCAGCTGCAACAAGAAGATATTTGGCCCTAGCAGCTGATCAGGCCCAAAGAAAAGGGAGAAGACCGGACAATAGTTGTACACCCAAGCGGGGAAAGAACAGCCCGTGTACAACGGAAGTGGACAAAAAGAAGCCTGTCGATTGAGGTGGCCAGCCGTCAAGCACGGACTCGGGGCTAACCTCAGGAGGACGAATGACTTACAAATATGACTGACTGACGACGACTGACTGACTCCAGTCGACGAGGAGAAAGAGCGAAGGCTCACCAACCTTTAGGAGGGGCTTAGGTCGAAAGCCCCAGCGCAGGACCCCCAAGAAAAGAGGCCGGCCATAAAGTCGAGAACCGACAGTTGGAAGAAAAACGTCCACCACGCGCTTCCGCGACGCGTGCGCGATCGAGTCAAATTTCGGGAAAAAGGGGCAAAATTGGGGAAGGGGGGATAGCTCGTTCGGCAGCACACACTCGGGAATGCGCAAGCGGCCTGAACCACGCAGCGCCACTCCAGGCCTTTGGGCGGGAGTGGGGGGAGGAGCTGAGTGCTCTTCCCCCCACTCCTCAAGGGTTTGAGGTTGCCTGGAACAGGGGTGGTGGAGGGACCGCACAGGGTAGGAGGGTGTGTGTGTGTGTGTGTGAAGACCGTAGCAGAAGAAGAAGAAGAAGACGAAGACCGTTTTGTAAAATAACAAAATTAAGTAAACACAATTTTTTTTATACATTTATAGCCCATAAGTAACAGCAGACCGAATATATTGCCAACGGAAAATCCTTTTTATTTTGGTATTCTGAGTTTAATTGATGTTAACTGCCCAAAATTGATTACTTATCGTTTATTCCTTTCCCCGCGGATCGGTGTATGGTAACTTGTTCTAACAGTTAATAGTATTAACGGAGTGTCATTGTTTTTATTGTTCAACAGCGAAATCAGTCAACATAAGGGTATCCACGATTTCCGAAGGTTAATACAGGGTGTCCGCAAAGTTGGGCTTTTCCTTTTCAGAAACAACTACCCTTGAAATAACAAAGGTAATGCGTAGTGAAACGAGGGCCGACCATGTAAAAAAAATATATAAAGGAAAAAGTACTCACTCTCCAGTTGACCCCATTACGTGTGAACGTAGATTCGTCTGTCACCAATATGCACTTCAAAAAGTCCGGATTATTGTCATGTTGATGCAACAAACCACTCACAAAACCGCACTCTTGCTGGAAAATCGTCAGGTTGGACGTTTGCCACACTCTAGTTTGTGATACTCGCACTTCTCTAGCCACGTCTCTAGTGCTTGTTGAGGATTCTCGTCTACGCGATTCAGTAGTTCTTCCTCAACTAGCACCATTCGTGGTTGTCTAGACCTCCCACTGTGCCCACCTCGATATTCCTCCAAATGGCCCGTATCCCTGACTCTCTGGACCGGGTACACAAATCTGCGGGGCCTTGGATGATGTCGTCTAGGGAAAAGATCTGCATACACTCGCGACGATTCTGTATCATTTTGAAGACGTTCATTAATAAATTAACAACATATCAACGAGTTCATTATTGGTATATGAGTGTGCCATTATTATTATATTTATTATACCTCTATACGCGTGACCCTTTACCGTCGGTTGAAGGTTGCATACTGACCTGACACTCGGACCCCCACCCCCGACCCAGTTCTGTCGTCGGGTTCAGCTAGTAGCCGGTACCTGTCTGGGGCCATCGCGGCGGGTGGCGGCTACAGGACGGTATTCAGATATTTTTGATGTTGCAGAGCCCTTTATCTCGGTTCCCTTAAGATATTGGTGTATATGGCACTAAGAAAAAATTGCTTATGTTTTCAAGATCTACACGTCGTGTAAAGGATAACCCCAACTTGCGGACACCCTGTATAATAGAATTAGAACCGTTCGATGTATATATTCTTTTCAAATTACAGTTTTTCGATAACACAGCATAGCATGTCCATATATGTATATATATATATATATATATCATATATATATATATATATATGATATATATATATCATATATATATATATATATATATATATATATGTATATATACACGTACATAAACATAGAATCACATGTTTATGTACGTGTATATATACATATATATATAATATATATATATATATCATATATATATATATATATATGTATATATACACGTACATAAACATAGAATCACGGAAACGAAATGTAGTACATCGTTATTCGAATATTCGTACATTTCGAAGTTCGCTCAAGTATACTTTCGAGACTACAACTGGAATATTAGTCGAAATATT